GTTAATACAGAAGAACATTCTCTTGGATAATAGACTTTTCAATCAATATATGGCTTTTTATGAGCAATCCATTCATACTCTCTATCTGAAATTGAACCAAAAAGTTCTGCTTAAACTTGAAAATCTGAATATTTAACAGGTTCAGTTTTGAATACATTTGTTTTAGGTTTAAATGCTATGTTTTCTATGAAACTCTTTTTAATTTATTTCCAAGAAGTGATGCACTACTTTAGAATTTCCCTTAATCTTCTGAAATATCTTTGATATTAATATAGGAATAAATTTATCATTCATAAAATTTAAGTACTAATGCTATTAAACATTTAATCAAGTTTTAAAAAGGTATTGAGTGCTTAAACTATTGTTAAATTATCTTTTTTTGAGTATAGGTCGAATGGTAAGAATCCATCTAATTAATAGTTTTTAGAGTAATTCTTCTAAAATATCTGTTCATTTTTGAACAGGATCAATTTTAATATAAAATTATCCAATATAATTTTCTTCAATTTCCTCTTTAATTTATAATATACTTTCACATAAATATTGGTGTTAATTAACTTGCTATAATCTCATACAAACCCAAAATTCTTTGCATATGTATTTAATAAACAAAAAAATTCAACTTTTGAATCTATATTCTAGACTAACTTCTTTAAAATAAGGGTTTTCCTCCTTCCAAGATATAGATCAATCAAATTACTGAACTCTTTATTCAAATTTTTAGAATAATGATTCCTTCCTTTATTGTCAAAATATATGGAATTGAATTTTTCTAATTAATAAATTGAATTAGGACCAAATTCTTTGACATAAATCCACATTATTCATATTCACATAATAATCTATAGTTTTTGGTATTTAAGGAAAATATCTAAAATTCAATCCAATTGCCTTATAAATTGACATGTAATGTTTTATATCTTAAAAATATTCAATTTTAAGGAGAGCTAGCAGACTAGTGTACTGTTATCTATTAGAAATATTATCTAACCAAGAACATTTAAGCAGTTAGAAATCACTTCTATCTTATTAAATTTTAACATAATTATTTGGTATCATCAATTGACATATTATATTACAATTTAAGATGAAAAAAAATTTATATTGCTTTATAATTTTTGAATATAATATGATCAAATATCCCTTAATTCCATTTAAATAAGAGTATGTTTAATTAAACTTTCTATTCTTGTTAGTTATAAATTTTTATTTAATGGTGTATTTTTCTGTGAAATACAAACTCAGAAGTTGGCTATTATTTATATTTAGAATTTTTAATGTTTACCAAGCACCCTTAATTGGATTTAAGTCAGGACAATATGGAGAAAGAAAAAAATAATTAGTTTTTCTTAGAAAATTGTTAATATTTAATTCTGCTTATATGAATAGGGCAAT